ACCTGTAATCCCAGCTACTCGGAGGCTAAGGCAGGAGAGTTGCTTGAACCTGAGAGGCAGAGGTTGTAGTGAGCTAAGATTGAGCCATTGCACTCCAGCCTGGCAACAATAGCAAAACTTCTCAGAAACAAAAAAAAAATGGTACTGTGCATTTTGTTGCCCATTTGAGTTGATTTTAAATTTTTTCTATATACTGAGGAAAAAGTCCACCAGAAACCCAGGCATGGAAAACCCTACCTAAAAGTATTAGCACCACCTGTTAAAAAATGAAGACCTTGAGCTATGGCCACATTGGCTCACTCCTGTAATTCCAGTGCTTTGAGAGACTGAGTGGGGAGAATCACTTCAGGCCAGGAGTTCGAAGCCAGCCTGGGCATCAGTGACATCCTACCTCCACCAAAAACAACAACAACAACAACAAAAACTTAACAATTTAAATTAGGCAGGCATGGTGGCACAGGCCTGTAGTCTCAGCTATTTGGGAAGCTGGGGCGGGAGGATTGCTTGAGCCCAGGAGTTAAAAACGGCGGTGAACTATGATTTCACCATTGCATCTCCAGCCTGGGCCACAGAGTGAGACCCTGTCTATTAAAAAAGTAACAAATGAGGCCGGGTGAGGTGGCTCACACCTATAATCCCAGCACTTTGGGAGGCTGAGGTGGGTGGATCACGAGGTCAAGAGATTGAGACCATTCTGGTCAACAAGGTGAAACGTCTCTACTAAAAATACAAAAATTATCTGGGCATGGTGGTGCGTGCCTGTAATCCCAGCTACTCGGGAGGCTGAGGCAGGAGAATTGCTTGAACCCAGGAGGCGGAGGTTGTGGTGAGCTGAGATTGCGCCATTGCACTCCAGCCTGGGTAACAACAGCGAAACTCCGTCTCAAAAAAATAATAATAATAAAAATTAAAAAGTAACAAATAAGGCCAGGTGCGATGGCTCACGCCTGTAATACTAGCACTTTGGGAGGCCGAGGCGGGTGGATCACGAGGTCAAGAGATCGAGACCATCCTGGCTAACATGGTGAAACCCCATCTCTACTAAAAACACAAAAAAGTAGCTGGGCATGTTGACACATGTCTGTAATTCCAGCTACTTGGGTGGCTAAGGCAGAAGAATCGCTTGAACCCAGGAGGCAAGGTTGCAGTGAGCCGAGATCGCGCCACTGCACTCCAGCCTGGGCAACAAGAGCAAAACTCCGTCTCAAAAAAAAAAAGTAACAAATAAATAGAAAAAGAAGCCTGGATTTTTTCTCCCTAAACAATGGATATCACGTTCAAGCAAGTGACCCCTCTATAAGCCCTTATTTTATATATTATTTTCAAGGATGACTATACCAGTAAGCGAGATTAGAGAGTAGGAACTTTTCCTTTTCAGTCCTGTTTTTCCTCACAACTACATTTCCTGGAAAGTATTCAGAGTCTAACAGCTAGACACTACCCCCTCACCCCCGGGAGAATCCTCCGATTTACCAGACACCCCTAAAGCTAGATTAGCTAGACTCTGAGGGCGGTAGGGGGAAATAGACATTTTTCTGTCATATGTAGTGGACGCCTTATAAAAAGCCCACATTTGCCAGGCACCAACTAGATCCAGCACTGTCCTCATTTAAAACAGTTGGAGTAAAAAAAAAACAAAACGCAGTTGGAGTTGGCTGGGCGAGGTAGCTCACGCCTGTAATCCCAGCACTTTGGGAGGCCGGATCACCTGAGGTCGGGAGTTGGAGACCAGCCTGACCAACCTGGAGAAACCCCCGTCTCTACTAAAAATACAAAATTAGCCGGTCATGGTGGTGGTGCATGCCTGTAATCCTAGCTGCTCTGGAGGCTGAGGCAGAAGAATTGCTTGAACCTGGGAAACGGAGGTTGCAATGAGCCCAGATCGCTCCATGAGTTGGGGGTTTGTGCAGTGGAATGACTAACCCGGAGCCACGCCACGACTCAGGGGAGGTGGGGACTCGAAACTCGAACCCACGCGATCAGATGTCGCAGCAGGTGCCTAAGATGTCCACCTGCAGCAGAGAGCAAGCCTGTCTTATCCTGACTTTAGGAAAAGTTCTTTGGTGTTACTTAACGTTATTACATTAAAAAAAGGGCCGGGTGCGGTGGCTCACGCCTGTAATCCCAGCACTTTGGCAGGCCGCGGCGGGTGGATCACGAGGTCTAGAGATCGGGACCATCCTGGTCAACATGGTGAAACCCCGTCTCTACTAAAAATACAAAAAATTAGCTGGGCGTGCCTATAATCCCAGCTACTCAGGAGGCTGAGGCAGGAGAATTGCCTGAACCCAGGAGGCGGAGGTTGCGGTGAGCCGAGATCGCGCCATTGCACTCTAGCCTGGGTAACAAGAGCGAAACTCCGTCTCAAATAAAAAAAAAGAAAGAAAGAAACAAAGAAAAAAGAAAAAGAAAATCTCCCAGGGTGAGATGGAGAGAAAGAAAAAAAAAAGTTATGACATTGTGCTCTCTCAAGTTACTTGCGTCTCCGACACCCCCAACTCAGTTGGGACTGCGTCCGAACACCGCTCCCCCGCCTCGCCACAGCGGCCAGTAGGAGCTATCGCAGCCCCAGGAGTCTGCGGCCGAGCCAATGGGAGCCGCGAGAAGTCCCAGGGCGGGGCCTGGACGCGCGGTGCCAGGGAATCACTCCCTTGGGATTTGGCCAGAGGCCTCTGACTTCCTGTCGCACGGGCCGGAGTGCAGTGGCGCTCAGATCACCGTGACCTCTGCCTCCCTGGCTGAAGCGATTCTTCTGCCCCAGCCTCCCGAGTAGCTGAGATTACAGGCGTGAGCCACATGCTAGGCTAATTTTTTGTATTTCTATTAGAGACAGGGTTTCACCATGCTGGTCAGGCGGGTCTCAAACTCCTGGCCTCAGGTGATCCACCCTCCTTAGCCTCCCAAAGTGCTGGGATTACACCACACCAGGCTAATATTTTGTATTTTTAGTAGAGAGGGCGTTTCACTATGTTGGCTACTCTGGTCTTGAAATCCTCACCTCGGGTGATCCACCTGCTTTAGCCTCCCAAAGTGTTGGGATTAAAGGCGTGAACCACTATGCCGGCTTTCATTAACCCTATTTCTTGTTAAATACCCATAGAAAAGTAATTGCTAATCCGTTCCTTTTAGTTTAAGTTTACCATACTATGATATTTAGCACCACCCAGTGGCAATTTTTTATGTTCTTGTGTAAAAATAGCAATTTTGCAAACTCTTGATCTCAAAAGAGAATACCTCAATCAACAGAAACAAGAAAAAAGTTGCCAATCAAACTGAAATAATTTCATTTTTATTTATTTTTATATATATATTTAAAGATAGGGTTGCACCACGTTGGTCAGGCTGGTCTCGAACTCCTGACCTCAGGTGATCCACCCACCTTGGCCTCCAAAGTGCTTGGATTACCAGCGTGAGCCACCACGCCTGGTAATAATTTCATTTTTAAATAGTCATCTGCTGGCCGGGTGCGGTGGCTCATGCCTATAATCCCAGCACTTTGGGAGGCCGAGGCGGGTGGATCACGAGGTCAAGAGATTGAGACCATCCTGGTCAACAAGGTGAAACCCCGTCTCTACTAAAAATACAAAAGTTAGCTGGGCGTGGTGGTGCGCACCTGTAGTCCCAGCTACTTGGGAGGCTGAGGCAGAATTGCTTGAACCCAGGAGGCGGAGGTTGCGGTGAGCCGAGATAGTGCCATTGCACTCCAGCCTGGGTAACAAGAAAGAAACTCCATCTCAAAAAAAAAAAAAAAGACAAACACCTAGGCCGGGCGCAGTGGCTCACGCCTGTAATTCCAGCATTTTGGGAGGACAGACAGGGCAGATCAGGAGGTCAAGAGATTGAGACCATCCTGGCTAAGACAGTGAAACCCCGTCTCTACTAAAAATACAAAAAATTAGCTGGGCATGGTGGTGCGAGCCTGTAGCCCTAGCTACTCAGGAGGCTGAGGCAAGAGAATTGCTTCAACCTAGGAGGTGGAGGTTACGGTGAGCCGAGGTTGTGCCACTACACTCCAGCCTGGGCAACAGGAGACTGTGTCTCCAAGAAAAAAAAAAAAGACAAATAGCTAGACCAGGTACGGTGGCTCACACCTGTAGTCCCAGCACTTTGGGAGGTCAAGGTGGACAGATCACTTGAGCACAGGAGTTCAAGACCAGCCTGTACAACACAGTGAGACTTCATCTCTACGAAAAAATTTTTTGAGATTCAGTCTCCCTCTGTTGCCAGGCTGGAGTGCAGTGGTGTGATCTTGGCTTACTGTAACCTCCGCCTCCTGGGTTCAAGTGATTCTCCTGCCTCAGCTTCCCAAGTAGCTGGAATTACAGACACACGCTACTACTCCCAGCTAATTTTTGTATTTTTAGTAGAGATGGGGTTTCACCATGTCAGCCAGGATGGTCTTGATCTCTTGACCTTGTGATCCGCTCGCCTCAGCCCCCCCAAGTGCTAGGATTACAGATGTGACCCACTGCACCCAGCAAATTTTTTTTTTTTTTTTTTTAGTTTCGCTGTTGTTACCCAGACTGGAGTGCAATGGCATGATCTCGGCTCACCGCAACCTCCACCTTCTGGGTTCAAGCAATTCTCCTGCCTCAGCCTCCCGAGTGGCTGGGACTACAGGCGCGCACCACCATGCCCAGCTAATTTTTGTATTTTTAGTAGAGTTTCACCTTGTTGACCAGGATGGTCTCAATCTCTTGACCTCGTGATCCACCCACCTCAGCCTCCCAAAGTGCTGGGATTATAGGCGTGAGCCACTGCGCCTGGCCACAAAAAAATTTTTAAAATTAGTCAGGCATGGGGTACATATCTGTCATTCCAGCTATTTGTGAGATTGAGTTGGAAAGACTGCTTGAGCCCAGGAGTTTAAGGCCACAGTGAGCTTTGATTGTACCACTGAATTCTAGCCTGGGGGACAGAGCAAGATCCTGTCAAAAAAATAAAAAAAAAAGAAAAAAGATGAATAGCTTAGGGTACTTAAACAACAATAACAAAGAAACTTTTCAAAAATTCTCCTTTTATTCTCTAGTTATATACATACACTTGCTTCCAAATAAAAGTCTGTATTACAAGGAAAGGTCTATTTATAAGACATCGTATTGACTTTTTCTTCTGAGAAAACAGGAAATGTCATCAGTGCTTTTAAAAACGTGAAAGTGTGAGAGAAATTCAGGGCTCTCTTTGGAGAAGCCTAATTGTTTCTCTGAAAAAACAACGAATACAGGATAGCTCTGTCCTATAGCAATCTAAAACACAACCTCCCTGATGTACATACAGAAAATATATGTCTTAACCAACCTGGAAGAAAAACAAAATTCTGGGTGTGGAAATATATTTTCTCGTTATTCTTTTTTCTTTTTGAGATGGAGTTTCGCTGTTGTTGCCCAGGCTGGAGTACAATGGCGTGATCTCAGCTCACCGAAACCTCCACTTCCTGGGTTCAAGTGATTCTCCTGCCCCAGCCTCCCAAGTAACTGAGATTACAGGCATGCATCACCATGCTCAACTAATTTTGTATTTTTAGTAGAGACGGGGTTTCTCCAGGTTGGTCAGGCTGGTCTGGGAACTCCTGACCTCAGGTGATCTGCCTGCCTCCGCCTCCCAAAGTGCTAGGATTACAGGTGTGAGTCACCGTGCCCAGCCACTTTTTTCAAACTGGATTCAGCCCTAGGCTGCTGCTGACATCAGTGCTCCTCTCTGGAGCAAGGCTGGAGGGCTTGCATTGCACTGGAAGGGCATGAGGCACCTGCTGCCACAGCAAAGAATCAAATGAAGGACCATAACTGCCCCTTGGGGATTGGAGAATTCTTTAAAGTCTGAATACTTAGGGAACACATACCAAGGCCCTGATTTTCCATTTCTGGAAAAAATTTCTGTTCTACAAATTTCATATATCTAAAGATGCTGTAGAATTTAATTCATGGTGTCTCCTCAAGAGGACGAGGGGGAAAAAACCATTCTTCATAGGATTCTTTTCTTTTTTGGTGTCTTAAATGTCAATGATCACAAAAACTTCTGGCTTCTCTTCATTATAGACCTGCATTGCTGAATATGTTATTGCTTTGACTTCTGTTCCCTAAAGTTGGGGTGAGAGAAAAAAAATTAGGTAAACAAGATATTGAAATCATAATCATTAACTCTAGCAACAATTGGCTGAAAGTCAAAATTTTAATATTTTGAAAATAAAAAACTTACAATTAACAGTTATCAAGTTAGTATAGTATATATGGATCCAAGAACAATGAGAGGTAACACATGCACAAGGTAGTGGGGGCATGACACTAATCCTGGCTTTGTTTCCACCTGGGTATGGAAATTGTCTGGCCTGTCTGGACATCAGTTTTTCATTTATAAAATGGGTTGAATCACATAAAGACATATGCACGGGTATGTTCACTGCAGCACTATTCACCACTGCAAAGACATATAATCAACCCATGTGCCTGTCAATGGTAGACTAAAGAAAATGTGATACATATATACCACGGAATACTACACAGCCATAAAAAAGAATGAGATAATGTCCTTTGCAACAATGTGGATGGAGCTGGAGGGCATTATCCTAAGTGAATTCCTGCAGGAACAGAAAACCAAATACCATGTTTCCACTTACTTAATTATTTTTTTTAAGACGGGATTTCACCATGTTGGTCAGGCTGGTCTTGAACTCCCGACCTCAGGTGATCCGCCTGCCTTGGCCTCCAAAGTGCTTGGATTACAGACGTGAGACGTTTCCACTTATAAGTGGGAGATAAACACTGAGTACACATGAACACAAAGAAGGAAATAAGACACCGGGTCTACTTGAGGGTGGGAAGAGAGTAAGGACTGAAAAACTGCCTATTAGTTATTATGCTGATTTACCTGGGTAACAAAATTATCTGTACACTAAGTCCCCACAACATGCAATTTACCCATGTAACAAACCTGTACATGTGTCTCATAAACCTAAAAATAAAAGTCAGAAAGAAAAAAAGTAAAAAGCGCTGGGCACAGTGGCTCACACCTGTAATCCCAGAACTTTGGGAGTCTGAGGCGGGCAGATCATGATGTCAGTAGTTTGAGACCAGTCTGGCCAACATGATGAAACCCCATCTCTACTAAATATATAAAAAATTAGTTAGCTGGGTGTGGCAGTGCATGCCTGTAATCCCGGCTACTTGGGAAGCTGAGGCAGGAGAATTGCTTGAACCCAGGAGATGGAGGTTGCAGTGAGCCAAGATCGAGCCATTGCACTCCAGCCTGGGCAACAGGGCAAGACTCCATCTCAAAAAAAGAAAAAAGCTTTTGAGGATGATTGAAAACAATGGATTGACCCAAAGAACACAAGCTTTTCTATTTTCTACTATTTGGCTCAGGGCTCTTCTTGAAACCCAAACCATTTCCTTATACTCTAATGTAGGCCCTAGGAACTCAACCTATTCTCTTCTAAGCTGCCAACACTCACTTCACCTCTTGGGACTCTTCTCTTTCCAAGTCTAGCTAAAGGGTAAGATACAGTTTCCCAGGTCAAAAGCTCTCCACACGTCTATGATACGTGATCCTCTGCCCAACCCTGTTCCAGTTTAGAACCACAGGATTAGATGTTCTCTTATGTTCTTTCCAGCTCTAAAAAGAATTTACAATAATTCTGTGCACCAAAAAATGTATCAGGCAACAGGTAAATGGTATTTGCTAGCTCTATACCACACAAAAAAAGGAAGATTTCACAGAAGGATATGAATGGCAATGCCGTTGCTTTTTCTCCTCGGCTACAATCACCCGGCAAAACCACAACCTAAATCAAATTCAGCTGTCTGCTTATGGCAGCATACACCATACTAACTGGTATCACCCTAAGTGTATGTCCACACATCTCAAACAGGATTTCAGCAAGTGCAGTAAAATCGCACAATTACCAATACATTCCCCTTTTCACTCTCTGAGACAATTCTTTCTCTAGTGATCATTCCTCCCTCATTCTCACTCTCTATCAACTGTGCTTCCTAGAGAAAGTAAGGGCAAATCAGTAAGATTTGGTTCTTCCTGCCAAATCTACCATCAGGCTGTACCTGTACTCACGCTAACCTCTCTGGTTGCAATGAATGCCTGCCCCTGTTCCCATCAGAAGACCAACTCCTATACGTGAGTACTCGATCCTATACCCCCTTGCCAACTTTTACCAAAGAGGCTGTGGCCCTATCTCTACAACCTTATCTCCTACTACTATACCTTCACTCTTTCAGCTCCACCTTATCTCATTTCAAGGCCTTTACACTTGTTTCTTCAGCCTGGAAAGTTCTTCCATATTTCCGCTCACTTCTCATTTCTCTTATCTCTGCCGAAATATTACTTTCTCAAACATACTGATATGGTTTGGCTGTGTCCCCACCCAAATCTCATCTTGAATTGCAGTTCCCATAATCCCCATGTGTTGTGGGAGGGACCAGGTGGAGATCATTAAATCATGGGGGGCAGTTTCCACCATGCTGTTCTAGTGATAGTGAGTTCTCAGGAGATCTGAGGGTTTTCTAAGGGGCTTCCCCTTTCATTCAGCACTCACTTCTTGCCACCATGTGAAGAAGGAAGGCAGTGTTTACTTCCCCTTACACCACGATTGTTAAGTTTCCTGAGGTCTCCCCAGCCATGCTGAACTGTGAGTCAATTAAACCTCTTTCCTCTATAAATTACCCAGTCTCGGTACGTCTGTATTAGCAGCATGAGAATGGGTTAATACACATACATTTTCTGACCCTTTATCCCCTCCTCTAACCACTCTTACCTTATCCTGATGGCACTGTTCACTATCTGAAATTATATGTTTACATGTTTGTCTGGCTCACTTCTCCCACTACATTTTAAACTCAGTGATGGCAGAGATGTCACTTGTCCTATTATGTTTCTACCTCGAGTGCATAATAAAATGTCTGAAACACTAGAGGCACTTGATAAGTATTTGCTGAATGCATGCATAGTCATGGATGAATGGAACATGGATTCATGGAGAGATAATAAGGACAACATTAAAACCAGGAAGGTATTTTTAAACCAATAAATATTCCAGGAACCACATGTTTTAATAAGCTACTTGTAAAACATTCCTTTTTGCTTTGAAAAGCTGTTTGATTGGCTGGGCCCAGTGGCTCACACCTGTAATCCCAGCACTTTGAGAGGCTGAGACAGGCGGATCAAGAGTTCAAGACCAGCCTGACCAACATGGTCAAACCCCATCTCTACTAAAAATAGAAAAATTAGCCGGGTGTGGTGGTGTGCACCTGTAGATCCAGCTACTCAGGAGGCTGAGGCAGAATAATTGCTTGAACTGGCCAGGCGCGGTGGCTCACGCCTATAATCCCAGCACTTTAGGAGGCCGAGGCGGGTGAATCACTAGGTTAAGAGATCGAAACCATCCTGGTCAACAAGGTGAAATCCCGTCTCTACTAAAAATACAAAAAAAAAAAATTAGCTGGGCATGGTGATGTGCGCCTGTAGTCCCAGCTACTTGAGGCTGAGGCAGGAGAATTGCTTGAACCCAAGAGGTGGAGGTTGTGGTGAGCCGAGATCGTGCCATTGCACTCCAGTCTGGGTAACAACAGCGAAACTCCGTCTCAAAAAAAAAAAGAATTGCTTGAACCAAGGAGGCAGAGGTTGTAGTGAACTGAGATCCCTCCCGACACTGCACTCCAGCCTGAGCAAGACTTCTTCTTGAAACAAAACAAAACAAAAAAAAGCAGCACGGGCTGATTCTCCTGCCTCAGCCTCCCAAGCAACTAGGATTACAGGTGCAGGCCATCATGTCCAGCTAACTTTTGTATTTTTAGTAGAGACTGGGTTTCACCATATTGGTCAAGCTGGTCTTGAACTCCTGACCTCAAGTGATCCACCCACCCTGGCCTCCCAAAGTGCTGGGATTGCCAGGCGCGGTGGTGAGTGCCTGTAGTCCCAGCTACTCGGGAGGCTGAGGTGGGAGGAGTTCTGGGCTGTGTGCACCATGCCGAATCGGGTGTCCGCGCTAAGTTTGGCATCAATATGGTGACCTCCTGGGAGTGGGGGACCACCAGGTTGCCTACAGAGGGATGAACCGGCCCAGGTCAGAAACAGAGCAGGTCAAAACTCCAGTGTTGTTCAGTAGTGGGATCTTGCCTGTGAATAGTCACTGTACTCCAGCCTGGCAACAGAGTGAGACCCCATCTCTCTCTTTTTTTTTATTAATAAAGATGGGGGTCTTACCATGATGGCCAGGCTGGTCTTGAACTCCTGACCTCAGGAGATCCATCCACCTTGGCCTCCCAAAGTGCTAGGATTACAGGCGTGAGTCACCACGCCCGGCCTTTTTTTTTTTTTTTTTTTTTTTTTTAAATAAAATAGAGACCGGTTTCACCACCATGTTGGCCAGGATGGTCTGGATCTCCTGACCTTGTGATACGCCCACCTCAGCCTCCCAAAGTGCTGGGATTATAGGTGTGAGCCACCGCACCCAGCCAAGAGACCACATCCTCTCTTTAAAAAAAAAAAAAAAAGGCGCTGGGATTACAGGTGTGAATCACCACACCTGGCCTGATTTTTACATTTTTAAATGGTTGGGGGGAAAAAAATCAAAACAATGACATTTTGTTACATTTGAAAATGGTAAGAAATTCAAATTTCAATGTCCATAAGTAGGTTTTACTAGAATACAAGCGAACTCATTCATTTAAGTATTATCTATGGCTGCATTTGTGCTACAACTGAAGCACTGAGTAGCTGCTCTTCTATCATTCTTGGCCCACGAATCTTAAAACATTTATTATCTATCAACTTTATAAATAAAAGCTGCCAACTCCTGTTCCAATAGATTTTCCTATCATACAGTGAGGCCGTACAGGTCAGCAAATACAGAATCTAGAGACACACAGAAAGTAGAAGGTATGTTAGAGAACATCTAGTCCAACATCTTTATTATAGGAGAAGAAATCAAAGCTCAAAAAAGCAAAGGGAATTTTAAATCCCTCAATAAATAATCTGAACAAACTTGGTCCTAGAGCCCAATGCTGACTCCTCATCCACCAAATCAGGTGTATATCACAGTATTTTAACAAAATATATCCAGACAGGTCAGAGAAGTCTGAGAAAAACCTATCCCTTTACACCAGTTAGATCTAACTGAAGTTTAGTGTACATATATGAACCTTAGGGTAAGGAAATTTTTAATGTTCTTAATGGCTGGATTTTAAAACATACCTGAGGGTGCTTGGACAATGAAAATTCTTCTCCCCACCTTAAGAATACAAATTAAAACATGATTAAGATTTGTTCTCTCTTTATATATTTTAAAATAAGCCTTGTAAGTGTGGTTAAGATGCTAGAGAGCCAAAAGAGACAGGAAGAGTCAGGAAGCTGTAAGTTTCATTTTGATTTGTCAGAAGATACAGTTTGTTGAGGGACCTGTGTGCAATGGTCATCATTTGCTCTCAAGGCAGACAGTTAAGGCTGGGCGTGGTGGCTCGCACCTATAATCCCAGCATTCTGGGAGCCCAAAGGGAGGATCACTTGAGCCCAGGAGTTTGAGATCAGCCTGAGCAACACAGGGAGACCTAATCTCTCCAAAAAATAAAAAGAATTAGCTGGGCACATGGTGCCATATTCCTGTAGTCCTAGCTACATAGAGGCTGAGGTGGGAGGATTGCTTGAGCCCAGGAGGTCACAGCTGCCATGATTGTGCCAGTGTACTCCAAGCTGAGTGACAAAGCAAAACCCTGTCTCAAAACAAAACAACAAAAACAAAACAAAAAGAAAAAAAAAACTAATTGAATAATATCTTCCATTGGAGAAAGCAAGTCTGAGTACAATAAGGCAAAATATTAGACTCTGTAAAATAGTCTGAACTTGGTTTGCATTTTATAATTTTTCCAAAAATTTCCACAATCTGTATATAGAAGGCCCTAGGAAAGTAATCTAGAATTTGGGATCAGTTTCCTCTCTGTCTTTGACACTAAAGTGACTGAAGATCACAACATGGTGTAGTAGAAAGAGCAAAGTTTTAAACTTATGTTCAAACACATATTAGTAAGTACTTTTAGACAAGCCTGTTTTTTTGTTTGTTTTGTTTTGTTTTTGAGACAGAGTTTCACTCTTGTTGCCCAGGCTGGAGTGCAATGGCATGATCTCGGCTCACCGCAACCTTCACCTCTTGGGTTCAAGCAGTTCTCCTGCCTCAGCCTCCCAAGCTGGGATTACAGGTATGCACCCACCACACCCGATTAATTTTGTATTTTTAGTAGAGACAGGGTTTCTCCATATTTGTCAAGCTGGTCTTGAACTCCTGACCTCAGGTGATCTGCCCGCCTTGGCCTCCCAAAGCACTGGAATTATAGTAGTGAGCACCGTGCCCGGCCTTTTTTATTTTGAAACCGGAGTCTCGCTCTGTCACCAGGCTGGAGTGCAGTGGCATGATCTCAGCTCACTGCAACCTCCACCTCCCAGGTTCAAGCAATTCTCCCACCTCAGCCTCCCAAGTAGCTGGGACTACAGGCGTGTACCATCACGCCTAGCTAATTTTTGCATTTTTAGAAGAGATGGGGTTTCAGCATGTTGGCCAGGATGGTCTCCATCTCTTGACTTCGTGGTCCATCTGCCTCAGCCTCCCAAAGTGCTGGGATTACAGGCGTGTGCCACCGTACCCAGCAAGCCTGTTTCTCTACCCATTAAAAATATTAAAAAACATGGTCTAGGAAGAAGATTCTTGAATGAAACAAAAAAAGAAAGAAAAAAAATTTTTAATTAAAAAAAGAAGAAAAATAAAAACACAAAAAGCAGAGGTGAAGATAATAAAAGATCTCACTTTACAAAAAGAAGTTAATGAAATTCAATATAAAATGGGGCCACAGGAGTTGGAGACCAGCCTAGCAACATAGCAAGACACCCTTTTATAAGAAATTAAAAATTTGCTGAGATTAGCTGGGCATGGTGGCAAGCACCTATAATCCCAGTTACTGGGGAGGCTGAGGCAGGAGAATTGTTTGAACTCCAGAGGCAGAGGTTGCAGCAAGCCAAGATTGTCCTATTGTACTCCAGCCTGGGCAAGAGAGCAAGACTCTGTCTCAACAACAACAAATTCACTGGGCATGGTAGTGTGCACCTGTAGTCCCAACTACTCAGGAGGCCAAGGCAGGAGGATCACTTGGTCCCAGGAGTTGGAGTACTCCTGGGCAACATAGTGAAATGAGAACCTTTTTCTAAAAACATAAATAAGGCCAGGCACGGTAGCTCACACCTGTAATCCCAGTACTTTGGGAGGCCAAGGTGGGCAAATCACCTGAGGTCAGGAGTTCGACACCAGTCTGGCCAACATGGTGAAACCCTATTTCTACTAAAAATAAAAAAAATTAGCCAGGCATGGTGGTGGGCACCTATAATCTCAGCTACTCGGGAGGCTGAGGCAGAAGAGTCACTTCAACCTGGGAGGTGGAGGTTGCAGTGAGCCAAGATCATGCCACTGCACTCCAGCCTGAACAACAAAGCAAGACTCTGTCTCAAAAAATAATAATAACCTAGGAGGGCCAGGCATGAGCCATCATGCCTGTAATCTGAGCACTTTGGGAGGCCGAAGCCAGAGGACTGCTTGAGCACAGGAATTTGAGACCTGCCTGGGCAACATCGAGACACCCATCTCTTCAGAAAACAAAAAAGTCAGCCAGGCATACTGGTGCACTTGGTGGCCCCAGCTACTCAGGGGGCTGAGGTGGGAGGATCTCTTGGGCCAAGGAGGCTGAAGCTGCAGTGAGCCATGACCATACCACTGTACTCCAGCCTGAGTGACAGACAGATCAAGACCCTGTCTCAGAAAAAAAAACCAGGCCTGGTGCGGTGGCTCATGCCAGGAGGCTGAGGCAGGAGAATTGCCTGAACCCAGGAGGCGGAGGTTGCAGTGAGCCAAGATCTCGCCATTGCACTCCAGTCTGGGTAACAACAGCGAAACTCCGTGTCAAAAAAAAAAAAACAAAAAACAAAAATTAAAAAACCTAAAAAATTTAATTGACTAAAGAAACCTAGAGAAACAAGTCCAATAAAAGTGACCTAATCAAGTGTTTGCAAACTCTGAAAGGAAAAGAAAAGTATAATTTGCTAATAGAAGGAACTGATTTAAATAGGTCTAGAAGTGAGGATGTATGAGAAAAATGTGTTTCCTAAGCTAGGCTTTATGTTGTGCCATTTAGCAATTATATATATACTCTCTCTAAAAATCAACGAATTGGGAATCAGATTTAACAATTAAAATCAACTTTATTTTGATAAGTTTCTGGTCCTTCCAAGCCCTTAGGCATCCCACAAAGCTTAATCTGCAAGTCGACCTCTGATTTATGTTTCCATGTGTTTCCATGCCCATTGAATTCAATGAAGAATATAACTTTAACTTGGTACTTAAAAGTTTCAACTTACCCAATTGATCGTAATTTGAAATTCCTTTGATCAATACTAAGTACTTTCACTTCCTAGAGAGGAAAAAAAATTTTTTTAATTAAAAAATTTTATAATAGACCATCTTTTTTTTTTTTTAAGACGGGGTTTCGCCATATTGGTAATGCTGGTCTTGACCTCCTGACCTCAGGAGACCTACCCGCCTCGGCCTCCCAAAGTGCTAGGATTACAGGCGTGAGCCACTGTGCCAGCCTTTAGAACCTTTTCTAGCAAACAATAGCATACAATTTCTGTGAAACAAATAAAATTAAAATGGTAACTAAAACAAGACAACAAATTAGATATAAATACATATAATTTTTGGGGTTTTTTTTTTTTGGAGACAGAGTTTTACTCTGTTGCCCAGGCTGGAGTGAAGTGGCATGATCTTGGCTTACTGCAACCTTCACCTCCTGAACTCAAGCAATCCTCCCATCCCAGCCTCTGGAGTAGCTGGGACTATAGGCATGTGCCACTGTGCCCAGATAATAATGGTTTTTCTTTTTTTTTGAGAGAGGGAGTTTTGCCATGTTGCCCAAGCTGAGCATTAAATATATTTCAAGGAAATAAGTTTTTTCTTACAAATTCAAGGGAGGTATTCTTGAAAAATATACAATCTAAAAATATGAGTCAAAAGAATTTCTCTGCAAGATACATGGTAGAGGGGGCTACTCCAGGCACACTGCCTGTAGGGTAGCCCTGCTCTGCAAAGAGCAGTACCTCTGGCTGCTGCTATAGACTGCTGCTTCAATAAAAGCGGCTGTTTAAGACCAGAGGATAAAAAGATACATGGAGGAGGAGGAGGACATAGGATTTCAATCACTCTGAGCCTAATAAAATACTGGTAGGCTGGTAGGCACTTGAACTCTGCAGGGTGAGGGACTCAGTTGATAGAATATATATAGTGAAGCTGGTAAAGGAGAGAATGGAGGAATTATAAAAGCAGAGGGTGCCATCTCCGTTAGATAACAATGACATTGCAGATGTGTTCCCTTCTAAAGGATGACAGCGACAAGCAATCTCCACTTGGCTTTTCCTTTTTTTTTTTGGGGGGGGGTTTTATTTCATACAAGTCTTGCTCTGTCATCCAGGCTAGAGTGCAATGGCGTGATCTCGGCTCACTGCAACCTCCGCCTCCCGGGTGTAAGTGATTCTCCTGCCTCAGCCTCCCGAGTAGCTGCGATTACAGGCACCTGCCACGGTGCCCGACTAAATTTTGTATTTTTTAGTAGAGATAGGGTTTCACCATCTTGACCAGGCTGGTCTTGAACTCCTGACCTTGTGATCTACCTGCCTTGGCCTCCCAAAGTGCTGGGAATACAGGTATGAGCCACCATGCCTGGACTGGCTTTTCCTTTTTTCATATTAAGAAAAACTAAAAGCTGCAATTGTTTAACTTAGGCCAATGTGACAGAGCTATTAAATTTCAAATGGAACAAAAGGAACAAGGGATGGACATATATATAGCTTAAACTTGGGAAATAAAAAGTGTGGATGAGGCTGTGTGCAGTGCTCACACCTGTAATCCCAGCACTTTGCAAAACTGAGGCAGGAGGACTGCTAGAGGCTAGGAGTTCAAGACCAGCGTGGACAACACAGCAACACCCTGTCTCTACCAAAAACAAAAAAAGAAAAAAATGTGGATGAAAACTGTAGGTACATTTTTTTTTTTTTGAGACGGAGTTTCACTGTTGTTACCCAGACTGGAGTGCAATGGCACGATCTGGGCTCACCGCAACCTCCGACTCCTGGGTTCAAGCAATTCTCCTGCCTCAGCCTCCCGAGTAGCTGGGACTACAGGCACGCACCACCATGCCCAGCTAATTTTTTTGTATTTTTAGTAGAGACATGGTTTCACCTTGTTGACCAGGATGGTCTTGATCTCTTGACCTCGTGATCCACCCGCCTCCCAAAGTGCTGGGATTATAGGCATGAGCCACCACGCCTGGCAACATTTTTATCACACAATCCTGATTAGTGACAAATACATGAAATCTAAATACAAAATGTTCACACATAGGCAAACTCAGGCTAACCAGGAAGTGCCCATGGTCATTGTAATTTCTGCAAATCAGTATCATCTTATTTGTATGGATTGGTTTTGTTTCACATGTCCTACTTTAAATCATCTGCTATATTTTAAAATATGAACTAAGGATCCATTTGCTCAGTAAAAAAGAAAAATCCTTGCTTACCCGGGGTATGAAGAATTCATCAGCACTGAACTTATAAAGCCACTCATCCAAAAAGTGAAACAGAAGAGACTGTAAGTCATCTCCTACACAGGATCAGAACAGCCATAATAGTATGTTTAATAATTCTGGTCTCTAAAAACATACTTGCATTTAAAAGTACAATAAATTTCTTAAGTCAGTTTAAAGAGAAAGTAAAGACTCATTAATTTTCTGGTTCTTATTGTGAAAATATACTCAGATAATGTAGAATACTGTACAATTCTTTTTTTTTAAGGTGGGGTTTCACCATGTTGGTCAGGCTGGTCTTGAACTCCCGACCTCAGGTGATCCGCCTTGGCCTGCAAAGTGCCTGGATTACAGGCGTGAGCCACCACGCCCGGCCAATACTGTACAATTCTATACAATACCATATAACAATTTCTTCCTTGTGAATAAATAAATTACCTTGGGTTTCTACTTCAACTGTCTGGAGGGGCTCCACTGTCCCAATATCTGTCATGTAACCAAACATGGCCATAGCACATTGCTCGAATGCTTCCTCCAGAGTATCTCCCCATGCGTGTAACCTAAAGAAGCATAGTCATGCTCCGTGTAATATAATCTACTGTGAGAAAGAAAACTTGACAGCAAGCAAAGTCAAAGTAAACTCAGTATGATAAATACAATTTTTAAGGCCTCAATCAATTTAATAGCACTAAAACTGGGTGCTTTTATTTTTATTTTTAGAGACAGGGTCTCTATCTGTCACCCAGGCTGGAGTACAGCGATGCGATCATGGCTCATCAAGCCACTGCATCCACAAAACTGGGTGCTTTTAAACCATAATTTTCATGTTGCGAAGGAACCAAAATGAGAGGAGAAAAATTAAAGATAGGGATACCAAGATTAAAACATTCAGTCTTCCCACTGACATGGTTTCAAAGGAATGAACTCCTACTATACTCACTGGACATCTGCTGTATGATCCAAATCTAAGGGAGAAAGGGAAAAACACTTGTAAGACACTAAACTTGACTCTCAAATCACACACACAAAATAACTCTAGTGCATTATTATTAAGAATATCATTTTTTTGGCCAGGCGCGGTGGCTCACGCCTGTAATCCCAGCACTTTGGGAGGGCGAGGCGGGTGGATCACAAGGTCAAGAGATCGAGACCATCCTGGTAGACATGGTGAAACCCCGTCTCTACTAAAAATACAAAAAATTAGCTGGGCATGGTGGCGCGTGCCTGTAATCCCAGCTACTCAGGAGGCTGAGGCAGGAGAATTGCCTGAACCCAGGAGGCGGAGGTTGCAGTGAGCCGAGATCGCGCCATTGCACTCCAGCCTGGGTAACAAGAGTGAAACTCCGTCTCAAAAAAAAAAAAAAGAATATCATTTTTAAAGAGCAAGAAAATGTGGGCCAGTCTATCCATGACTTTCGCTATTTACTCAACAAGGCTAATTGCTTTCTTGGAATCGTTTTTTTTTTTTTGAGACAGCCGAGATTGCACCATTGCACCCCAGCCTGGGCAACAGAGCGAGACTCTGTCTCAAAAAAATAAATAAAATAAAATTCTAGCCAGGCGTAGTGGCTCACGCCTGTAACCCTAGCACTTTGGAAGGCCTAGGTGGGCAGATTTCAAGGTCAAGAGATCGAGACCATCCTGGCTAACACAGTGAAACCCTGTGTCTACTAAAAATACAAAAAAATTGCCAGGCGTGGTGGCCCATGCTTGTAGTCCCAGCTACTTGGGGAGGCTGAGGCAGGAGAATCGCTTGAATCCGGGAGGTAAACGTTGCAGTAAGCTGAGATGGTGCACTGCACTCCAGCCTGGGCGACAGACCAAGTCCGTCTCAAAAAAAAAAAAAAATTCCAAGTTTCTGTCTCACCTTTTCTTTTATAGCTAACCTAATCCTAGATAATATCAATTTAGAAAATAAACTCCACAATATATATCATGAACTTTTTCCTGATATTTCCACAGAAAAACCAGAAAGTAACAAATGCTACTATAGCACACTCCAATTGGATCTCAACATTTTCAGAGTCTATTCTTCATCCATATCATGATTTTTTCTTTTTTTTTTTTTTTTTTCAGAGTCTTACTCACTGTTACCCAGGCTGGAGTGCAGTAGTGCAATCTTGGCTCACAGCAGCCTCTGCCTCCCTGGTTCAAGTGATTCTCCTGCCTCACCCTCCCAAGTCGGTGGGATTATAGGTGAGCACCATCACACTCAGCTAATTTTTGTATTTTTAGTAGAGATGGGGTATCACCATGTTGGCCAGGCTTGTCTTGAACTCCTGACGTCAAGGGATCTGCCCACCTAAGCCTCCCAAAGTGATGAGATCACAGGCCTGAGGTACCATGCCCAGGCCACATCATGACTTTCATCAGTTTTTCCCACTCAGGATCACAGAATATTAGGGCTAGAAGGAATTCTTGGAGATCATTAATATTATTCCTTCCCTTGGAATTGCCTTTGCAAAATTATAACTAAGGCAATTATGACAGTGAAAGAAATCAGACCTAACTAACTCTCTCTTGCTTCTAACCTTTAAGCTGTCCTTGTTCATTTCTGGTGGGCCTAACTAACTTTGGGAAGGAATTCAGTTTAAGGTTTGACTCTGAAATAAAATTGGTAACAGCCCTTTCCAGAAAAGACCCCCTTCTTGCCTGGGGACCAGTCTGCCTTTGCTGGACTAATAAATTAGCTACAAGATTAGAAATTAGGGATAGTATAGGGGTCATGCAGCCTCTGGCTCCAAAAGTCTGAACCTCTCCAAATTATGCCTGGGGATAACATCACTATTGTAAAACCTAAGATCAATGCTTGAGATATTTTGCAGACCCTGTAGTCAATGGGATCATTGACACCACCCAGACTGGTAATCTGGCTTAATCAGTTTTGCCATCCCACCCAGAAATAGAAAACAGCAAGAAAACCTCACTTCAATCCCCAATGATTCCATCTCCAACCTGACCAATCAATAGTATCCACTTCCCAAGCCCCTACCCACCTAATTATCTTTAAAAACTGATCCCCGAATGTTCGAATGTTCAGGGAGACTGATGAATAATAACAAAACTCCCGTCTCTCACACAACCAGCTCTGTATAAATTAACTTTCTCCATAGTGATTTCCCCGTCTTGAATCAGCTCTGTCTCAGCAGTGGGCAAAGTGAACCCATTGGGCAGTTACACTTACAAGAATAAACTTGAAATCCAGAGACAGTGTGTGACTTGTTCAGGACTACACTGTTGATTACAGGCAGAGCTAGGACTAATAAGGTTTTCTGGCTCCCACTTTAGCACACTTTGCACAGTAACACATTATCTCCTGGTGGCACTCAAGGTTCAAATTCATCTCTAATTCTCTCAGAAATATTACTGAAAACTTCAATACGTTTTACGCATTAAGGGGCAATGATCAGCAGAGATCACAAAAAGAGGTATTAACTCGAGAGAAATGAAGGCATATGTTTGTAAAAAGACAGAGAAGACTGTTCACAGTAATTTTATTTCAAAAAATTAAAAATTGGCCAGGTGCGGTGGCTCACACCTATAATCCCAGCACTTTGGGAGGCCGAGGCGGGTGGATCATGAGGTCAAGAGATCGAGACCATCCTGGTCAACATGGTGAAACCCCGTCTCTACTAAAAATACAAAAACTAGCTGGGCATGGTGGTGCGCGCCTCTAGTCCCAGCTACTCGGGAGGCTGAGGCAGGAGAATTGCTTGAACCCAGAAGGCGGAGGTTGCAGTGAGCCGAGATCATGCCATTGCACTCCAGTATGGGTAACAACAGTGAAACTCCGTCTCAAAAAAAAAAAAAAAATCAAAGCCAGGTGTAATGGCGCAAGCCTATGGTCCCAGCTATTCGGAAGGCTGAGGCAAGAGGGTCACTTGAACCCAAGAGATCAAGTCCAGCCTGGGCAACACAACAAGACCCTGTCTCTAAAAATAAACAATTTTTAATTATAAACAATTTTTTTATTTTTTTGAGACGGAGTTTCGCTCTTGTTACCCAGGCTGGAGTGCAATGGCGCGATCTCGGCTCATCGCAACCTCCGCCTCCTGGGTTCAGGCAATTCTCCTGCCTCAGCCTCCTGAGTAGCTGGGATTACAGGCACGTGCCACCATGCCCAGCTAATTTTTTGTATTTTTAGTAGAGAGGGGGTTTCACCATGTTGACCAGGATGGTCTCGATCTCTTGACCTCGTGATCCACCCACCTCGGCCTCCCAAAGTGCTGGGATTACAGGCTTGAGCCACCATGCCCGGCCTAAAAACACATTTTTTTTTTAGACAGAGTCTTGCTCTGTTGCCCAGGCTGGAGTGCAATGAATGGAGCAGTCTCAGCTCACAGGAACCTCTGCCTCCCAGGTTCAAGTGATTCTCCTGCCTCAGCCTCAAGTAGCTGAGATTACAGGCGCCTGCCACCACACCTGGCTAATTTTTGTATTTTTAGTACAGACAGGGTTTCACAATGTTGACCAAGCTGGTCTCAAACTCCTGACCTTGTGATCCACCTGCCTAGCCTCCCAAAGTGCTGGGATTATAGGTGTGAGCCACCATGCCCAGCCTAAATTTAAAAAATGTAAAAGCTAGTATCCATCAATAACAGAACAGATAAACAAACAAAGGTATAATCATAAAATAGAATACTACTCAGCAATAAAAAAGCAGGAACTAAAAAAAAAGCAGAACTACTGACACATGCATTAACATAAATCTCAAAACATAAAGCTGAGTGAGAACTGAACTAGAGAACTGTTCAATCTGAACCTCTGTACTAGGTCAAATATTAGCATGACTTTTAGAAGAATAAGGTCATAGGCCAGCCTGGGCAAGAGGGAGACTCCATGTCAAAAAAAAAAAAAAAAAAAAACAGGCCGGGCATGGTGGCTCACACCTATAATTTCTGCACTTTGGGAGATGGAAGCGAGTGGGTCACCTGAGGTCAGGAGTTCGAGACCAGCCTGGCCAACATGATGAAAAACCCCAGCTCTACTAAAAATACAAAAAACTGGGCATGGTGGTACAATGCTTATAATCCCATCTACTCAGGAGGCTGAGGCAGGAGACTCACTTGAACCCAGGAGGCAGAGGTTGCAGTGAGCCAAGACTGAGCCACTGTATTCCAGCCTGGGCAATAAGAGCAAAACTCTGTCTAACAAAAAAAAGAGAAGGTCAGGTACCTAGGATGACCCTTAACCCTCTGACGGCCATTAAAATGCCTGCCTGAGAAAGAGCATCATGGCCAGGAGAATATGTTTGTTCTAGCAAACACTTTATATAGGCTGCTGGACTTCCTTACTTAGAGAAGTACTAAAAAGGGCTTGCAAATGTCAATATGTATCTCTTACTACTTAGAAGTGTTTTTCTCAAGAACCCAAGAGACATTCCTTTGAAATGTAATCAATGAGAAGGATGGGGCCTTTGACTCCCAGTCTCTGAGGGAGGAAAGAATCCTAATTTCCATAACTGTCAGCTATCAGACACAGCTATACTAATCACATTAACACTGATCAACCCTTTGTACTTTTTCACTTTTCTGACTCTCCTAAGCCCCAGCTCTCTCCTTTCCCTTTAAAATGTCCAATCATCCCCCACACACAAATCAGAATAAAGCTCAGCTCTTTTCCCTGATGTCAGTAGTTACTGAATAAAACCTATTTTCACTGCTCCAAGTAACATCCAGTTGTATTTACCTTTGACATGAGTGAAGAAGCCAGACATAAAATAATCTATATTTTGTGGTTCCATCTAATATGAAACTAAAATGGGCAAAATTAAGCTATGGTGATAGAAAACAAGTGTTTGTCTCAAGGCAAGGGAGTGGAGGATTGACTAGAAAAGGGCAAAAGGGAACTTTCTCTGGTGACGGACATGTGCTATATAGAGTAGATGGAGTATTGGTTACACAGATGTATGTATCTCTTTATCAAAACTTACCAGACTTTACCCTGTAAGGTCTGAGCAGTTTAC